TTTAATTTATTTGGAAGAGAAAAATAGAATCAAATTTATTTTGATGATATATTTAAAAGCGAAAAATATAATCAAAATTTATTTTGATGATTTATTTGAAAGCGAAAAATATAATCAACATTTATTTTGATGATTTTATGTTTTAATAAAATTAAAATTTATTTTGCCCCATTATTTCTCACCTAAATCTTTATCTTAAATGTTGTTAGAATGTATTTAATATTTGATTAAATCACGACTTCAAACAGCCCAAAAACAGAGGTTCAAACAGCCCAACACAGCAGCAGTTCAAAAGGTGTGGAAGATATTCAAATTTGTAATAATGGAGTGGAAGATATTCAAATTAGTAATAGGAAAAGGGGTCACTGCTGTGCTTTTGAGCACAGCAGTGACTGTAGTGTCTCCATTTGAAGTATATTATGATCTTATTTTTATGATCTAAACCGTTTATATTGTAGGGTTTGTTGAGTACTTCATGCATACCAAAAATCATATTAATCAGATATCAACAACTATATGATCGATAACCAAAAAAATAAATAATAAGTTTTTCTTTTGAGAAATAACATAAACAATATGCGATTTGATCATATAGTTATTGATATCCGATTAATATGATTTTTGGTAGGCATGAAGTACTCAACAAATCCTACAATATGAACGGTTTAGATCATAAAAATAAGATAATAATACACCTCAAATGGAAGTACCACAGTCACTGTTGTGCTTTGAGCACAGCAGGGACCCCTGCTCCTTAGTAATAATGGAGTACAACGGCTATAAACGGCTATAATTTTCATTATATATATCAAAACCTCTAATGTAAACAAGTTACAAAAACCTAAAAATATTCTTTGATCTATAATCACACACATCTATTCTCAGAAATTATACACTGAGCCTTTTAGCTTTAAACGCATCTTTCCTGCGTGAGGTTTACAGAAAAACCAGAGCTTCATTTTTATATCTATCTTTGAGAGATAATTCTTGTAGCTTTCTGTGAAAGCAAAAACACATTCTTTTCAACCTTGTAAGAGTGTAATACACTCAGTGTTCTTGACTTAGAAAGTCAGTGTAAAATCTGTGGAGGATTGCTCCATCTATGAAAAGGTTGCTAGCACCCCGTGAAGCTAGAGTATAGTGAAAAATCTCAAGTGAAGCTTGAGGAGTGGACGTAGGCCGGGTTGAAGTCGAACCACTATAAATTTGTTTGTCTCTCTCTCCCTTATCTCTTTATTTTATTTTAAATTGCCATAGCTATATTTCACATTTTACTGTGCTAAAATCATTAACTAACATAGTTGTTAAGACACTTGTTTTAATTATTTTTATTTCATTAATTATATTTATCTATTGTGCTAGTCATAATTTTTATTAGGGTATTATTAATTTTAATTACAAAAACCTAATTCACCCCCCCTCTTAGGTTGTCTTTTGGGTAACAATACTGAAACTGTATATTTATGTTATAGATACTAAGATATTTATTTTAATTTTACAACTAGAGAAAAGAAAAACCTTAAAAAATGAACTTACGCAATTTGTTTCAGAAGTAATCACATATAGATATGATAATAGATAGTTTAAGTAATAAAAAACAATGTTAAATCAATTCCAATTCAGAAACTAATGAAAGTAAAACCCAAATTGCAAATCAATCTGACACAAACAATCTAAACAACAAATTTCACAAATGCGTGCAATGGGGGTTAGCCTTTCCCCCATTGCACACATATGTATGCTTTTTGTGATTTAATGTTATACAATGAGGGTAAGCCTTTCCCTATCCAGATAAGTTAATACTATTGCGAAAATATTCAACCAGATCTTTAGGTCTTTAATACTATTGCGAAAATATTTTACCAGATAAGTTAACTAATGCTTTCAAATATATAATTTTCATCAAGTACAAATTTCAACAAATTTAATTCAGATCAATCATCTACAATCTAAAGTTAATTCTATTTGTTTAGTTAAGAAAGATTAATTTGCCAAGAGTCTTGTGGAGAATGTAGTAGCAGTCATTAGGAAAGGAGATAAGATTATGTAAGTTAACTAGTTATTGGAGGGAATATAGTGAACGTTATTAGTGCATACGCCCCTCAAGTAGGATTAGATGATTAGACTAAGAGGGATTTTTGAGAACAAATGGATGAGATCATATAGGAGATAACCATAGGAGAAAATCTAGTTATAGGTGGAGATTTTAATGGCCATGTAGGCGTAGATAAACTAGGCTATAAAAGGGTGCATGGTGGATACGATTTTGGTAACAGAAATGTGGATGAAGAGAGTGTTTTAGATTTTGCGTTGGCTTTTGATCTGGTGGTGGCCAAACTATGTATAAGAAGAGGGAGGAGCATTTGATAACCTTTAAGAGTTGATCAGTTAAAAGCCAAATAAATTACTTCTTAGTGAGAAAAGTGGACTGCCTAAAATGCAATGATTGTAAGGTGATTCCCAGAGAGAGCCTGACCTCTCAACATAGGATTTTGGTACTAGATTTATGTTTTAGAGGGCAATACCAAGCTAGGAAAGACGGTGGGCATCATAGGACGAGATGGTGAGATCTAAAAGGGGATAAATTAGAAATATTTAAGAATAGAATGGATAAGGAAGGTACTTGAGACTTGGAAGATGATGCCAACAATATGTGGAACTCGATGGCCAATTGTATGAGGAGAATCTCAAGGGAAGTGCTTGGAGAGTCGAAAGGAACGGGACCCAGCTCTAGGGAAACTTGGTAGTGGAGGGAAGAGGTTCCAGCTGTAATTAAGGCAAAAAAAGAGTACTTTAAAAAGTGGCAAAATGATAGAACTGAGGAAAACCTTAAAGAGCAATAGATTGGCTAATAAGGAGATCAAGAATGCAGTGAGAGAGGCTAAGTTGAAGCTTATGATAACCTATACACTAGACTAGATAGTAAGGAGGAAAAGAAGAAGGTATGCAAACTTGCTAAGATATAGGAGAGGAAAACAAGAGATTTTAATCAAGTTAAGTGCGTCAAAAGTGAGGATTCTAAGGTATTAATGAGGGATGAAGAGATTAAAGAAAGATAGAAGAATTATTTTGAGAAACTATTAAATGAGGAACATGGAGGTACCGCAATAGGGGAAGAAATAGCCAGTAATACGATAAACTAAGACTATAGGTTCTATCACAGGATTAGGAACTTTGAAGTGGAGATTGCACTTAAGAAGATGAAATCAAATAAGGCTTTAGGACCAAATGATATCCCTATTGAAGCTTGGAAGTGTTTAAGTAAAAAATGGGTTGCTTGGTTGACTAGGTTGTTTAGCAAAATTTTGTTGACTAGGAACATGCCAGATGAGTGGAGGAAAATATTTTAATACCAATCTATAAGAATAAAGGAGATGTCTAGAATTGCAACATATAGAGGAATCAAGCTAATGTGTCATATAATGAAAGTGTAAGAGAGGGTGACAGAACGCCAATTACGAGATATAACAGAGGTGTCAGAAAATCAATTTGAGTTTATGTTTGGCAAGTCAATAATGCAGTCGATCTATCTTTTGGTTAGAGTGATAGAAAAGTATGGAGAAAAGAAAAAAGACATTCATATGGTATTTATCGACCTTGAGAAAATATATGATAGAGTGCACCAGGATATAAGATGGTGGGTGTTAGCGAAGAAAGGGGTGGCAAAAGGTTACATCGATGTGATTGGGAACATGTATGAAGGGGTTGTGACCACTATTAGATCGCCTGCTAAAGAGACAAATAAATTTCCTATCACTGTAGGGTTACACCAAGGATCTACCTTAAGTCCTTATCCTTTTGCTTTAGTTATAGATGAGTTGACGAGAAATATCCAAGATGACGTGCCATGGTATATGCTTTTTCCAGACGATGTAGTGCTAGTGGATGAGACTCTAGAGAAAGAGTTAATACAAAGTTGGATTCTGGATAAGCAGAACTAAGACAGAGTAGTGAAGAGATGCAATGCTGTAACGGTAGATGGAAATGTTAGGGGACGGGGTAGGCCTAGATTAACGTTGGTTAACGTTATAAATAGAGATATGGATCTACTTAATTTAACTAACGAAATGGCCTTTGATAGGACCGCGTGGAGAAAAAGGATTCATATAACCGACCCCATTTGATGGGACTTAAGACTTGGTTTGGTTTGGTTTGGTTTAAGAAAGATTAACCATTACAAGAATGGAAAACTACTCCTACTTCTTTCCTCCATTGTGATGTAATCATCAACTTGCATCATAGGATGAGGTATGGATAGTTAGAGTGAGGTTCAACTTTTTAACACGTACAAAAGAATGAAAAAATTTACAGGAAGGAACTATAAATTAAAAAAAGCAATTGTGTATATTGGTAACTCACTTTTTAATATTTAAAAGTGACGCATCCTTGCTTCAAAATCTTAGTATGTTCAAAAATCAAAAAACCTGCAAAATCTCTACAATATTGGAATATTTTGAGAGTTTCTTTGGGGTCAAGTGACCTCAGTTTGCTCTACTTGGCTCCCATCTTGGCTTAACAATACAAGAGTCCAACCAAGAAATGGAATGATTTCCACTCTAAAATAAAAACAATGGAATGATTTCCACTCCAAAATAAAAACAACCTACAACACCCAACTGAAGTCTTTGATCACTAAAATGGTTATTTATACTTTCTATACTTGTACAAATGAACAATGAAGTATATGATTTGAAGAAACATCACTTTTCCACGTGTATAGCGTCACAAAGACAGAGGGAGTGAAAATGAAAAGTTTATTAGAGAAAGCATTGAAGGGGATGCAATATAAAACAACTAGAGGAACAACAAGCCTCCTAGACACCTCTCTAGACAAAAGCCTTTGGCACACTTCCTTTCTAGAAAAAAAATGATCATAAAAATCCAAAATTGCTCAACAAATTGGTTTACCGTTCCCAAAAGTCCAACGACACAAAATGGGCAAAATTTTATTCTTCAACTGAAAAAAAGGTTCCTCCACGCACTTTAAACAGACAACATACCTCATCTTTACGTAGAAGCGTAAAGCAACGTCCAGCCTGGCCTGCTCTTGTAGTCCTCCCAGCCCGATGAATGTATGTCTTTATATATGCAGGCACATCATAGTTGATGACATTTCTCAGCCCTTCAACATCCATTCCACGAGTCATTGCATCAGAAGAAACAAGTACTTGTATTTCCCCTTCCCGGAATGCCCTCAATGTCTTGCTAGAGAAAAAAAAAATCACTCTCATTAGATTTGAATCTAGTTTAGACTAATTTATGATTAAGCTCGAGCTTTATAGCATGAAAGATTACAGATGAAAATCGGAAATAAGAGAAACCAAGGGTTGGACATGTTCTTCAAAAGTTAGAGAACTGCTGTTCCCATAGAACAATTTTGCCCTGCTAACCTACCGTTTATACAGCATGATACTAATGCTGTATTTGGTTGAGGAATTTGGGAAAGGATTTGGAAAGGGAAAGAAAAAAGTAGGTAAAATGTGAATAAAATATACCCACATTTCACATAGTTTCACGCATATTTTTCCTTTCTTTTTCCAAATCCCTCAACCAAACATAACATAAGGGTGCGTTTGGGAAGTGAAGTTTTTAGTCCAAAAGTCAAAAAGACACTAAAAAGGCTAAAAGGCCAAAAAAGACATATAAAAAAGTCAAAGACTCCTCATTCTCTCTACTCTTTGCACGTTTTTTTGTAAAAAGTCAAAAAGTCATTCCCAAACACATCAATTTTTTTCACGTTGTATTTTAGCTAAAAGGACACTTTCTAGACCAACCCTAAGTAACAAAATGTGGGCAGTCCATATAATTTAATGTTCTTTTATCTCCCTATTTGTCATCCAATATAAATTATGAAAGCTCTGACAATAATAATTTATCATTTACATTAAGTTATACTAAACCTGACTGATAGTTTCTAATTCAAGTGGAAAGCAATTCAAATAAGAGACCAGCACCCATAAAATTGAAACCTTTCATCTTCTTTTAGTTAGCAATTAAAATGCCATATTTCTATCCAAAACATCACTCTTTTTCTTGTACTACACAAGCTAATGCGTATGGACACACACACAAGCGCGTTTATACACACAAAAAGTGAAGCAAATCAAATTCTCAATACTATGAATTTGAATAAAATTGCTCATGCCCTGTGTGCAGATGCACAATGCTCACAAAAATCTAGTATTTTATAGCCAATAGCACCTAATATTGGGTAGACTGACCATGTAAATTCTTGAATACAAAATTAAACAATTTATAAGAGTCAGACTTCAGGCGTTCATTAGCTACAGATATGAAAATTAAACAATTATACGATCCCTTTTGGTCCTTGGCTACTTTGTCGTGTTTTAGTCCACCCCATTCATGTGGACCACATGCTTTTATGTTTTATAACATAAAAGAATCCACGATTCAGGACATGAATTTAATCGTGCATATAGAAATGAACGAATTAAAAGTGAACTACATGTATAAATATTACCAATCAAGTAGACTAACTCAGATATTACCTTCTTACGAACTGACGCTGAAGACCTGAATATTCCTTGATCTTGATTTGTAAATCACCAAAGAAGTTCAGTAAGGTGCAGAGTCTGTGGGTTGACTCCACTGACGATGTGAAAACAATGCACTTCTCCTCTTGCAATGTTTGGAGAAGGGCTACTAAATACAAGGGTTTATGCTTTGATTCACATATCTGCACAGAAGATTGGGAGGAAAATGCTCATGAAACATCCATGCAACAATTTATTGGGGAAGAATAACAATTGTTTGGAAGGTGAAGTTTAACTAAATTTCACATTTAAAAACAGATCAATCAGATAAAATCCCTCTTCAAGTTCACAATTTAATCATAAAAAGTGTCACAATTTGGTCCCCCAACCAAACTTCATTTGCAGATGCCGTTAAAGCAAACGGTAAATATAAAAATTCAATTAAAAAAGGGCAAATTACACCAATGGTCCTTACATTTTACCTTTTGTGTCATTTTGGTCCTTACACTTTCAATTAGTTCAATTTTGACCCTTCATTTAAAATTTTGTGTCAATTTGGTCCAATTGATAATATCGTTAGTGTTTTTTACAAAAAATTATCACTAAATTGATTGAGGTTAACTCACTGAATTTAGTAAATTTATAATTTTGCCCTTAAAAATATAACACATGACATTTATGTGCATATTTTTTATTAAAAAAAATGCTAAGAGTTATAACCAATTGGACCAAATTGAGATAAAATCATAAATTCACGGTCAAAATCAAGCCAATTGAAATTATAGGAATCAAAATGACACAAGAACCAAAGTATAGGGACTACCATCATAACTTGCCCATTAAAAAATTACTCTTTTAATACCCATAATAAGAGTTGTGTCATTTGAGTCCTCAGTGTTTAAATTGTGTCAATTTAGTCCCTAAAGTGTAAAAAGTTTTTAATTTGATCCTTCAATCTAATTTTGTTTCTCTTCATCTGAACCAAGGGTAAAGCATGGAAACCATAAAATACATATCAGCAAAAAGTGGGGAAAAAAAAAAGAGGGCTGCTATTAGCACCTACCTATTTACTTTGCCTCCCTCCCCCCCCAAAAAAAATTTCTTTTGAACCCCCACCCAGCAAAATGAATCCCCCCATTTTCTCTTTGAACTCCCACTTTAATACCAACTATACCCCTTATCTTTTTTGACCCCCAACTTTTTTTCTGCAATTTTCTTACCACCGACAGCCCAACCCCTCCGACAACCACCCTTCCACAACCTCCGACCACCACGACCCCTTTTCTTTTCCTTTTTTTTCCAGATCTGGTTTCTCTCTCTCTCTCTCTCAGCAGATCTAAACTACGATCCATGGCGACGATCCAGTCCGTCCATGCATGACAGATCTTTGACAGTCGCAGCAATCCTACGGTTGAGGTTTGATTTCGAACTCTTCTTATTTGTCTGAACTCGATCTCTGATACAAATCTTCCCTCAGATTGAGCTCACCGAGCTGAATCGATGATTAGATGATCATAAAAACAAATCGTGCAATGTATTTTTTGATTTTTTTTAGTTCGTATGATCAAATCTATGGATTCTCATTGCCGATGGAGATCATGGTCTTCTTTCGGCCGAAGCACTGGACGAACTCAACCGGAGGAGCTGCCATTGTTGGAGAGATTATGAGACCTGCAAAACCCTAACCCTAGATAAATGAGGCGATTCACGACAGATGAAGACGTGATGCAAGAGAGACAGAGGTCACCGACGGCAATGGCAGTGGTAGTGGTGATCACCGGTGGAGATGGTGGTGAAAATGTTAGTGGGTTAGGGTTTGGAAAATTAGGGTTAGAATATTGAGGATGAGGATGAGGATAAAAATGTAACTTTATGTTTGGATAAAATTGGAATTAAAAAAAATAAAATAGATGGAGGGTCCAAAGAAGAAAAGTGGTGCTAATAGCAGCACTCAAAAAAAAAAGGAAAAAGAGAGAATATCTTTGGAGGGAAATATTCATGTCATCCAATAAGTATATATAATATGTTCCTATATATATCAAAACATATTGGACGATGCAGTACAATCGTGATTAAACAATGTCCCCAAAAAACTTCTTGACGAAAAAAATTGGCGACGAGGATCTCATTCATTGTAAAAAGTAAGCTTTGGGAAACCAAAAAAAAAAAAAATTTCTTTTTTTTTTTGGGCATCGCAAAAGTTGCGTTTTCTTACCATAGTGAGAATATTTCCCTCCAAAGATGTTGGCTCTTTTTTTTCATATTTTGATTATATGTATTTAATATTTATCATTTTTCACATTTTACCCTAGTTCAGACAAGAAGGGAGAAGAAAATGGAATTACGTAGGGGAGCAAATCGAAACACTTTTCATATATTGTAGACTAAATTGACGCAATTTAAACATTAAGGACCAAAATGTCACAGATTGCCGACTTTGGGGACTTAAAGAGTAATTTTTTAATCAAATTTTCACATTTACCCCCAACTTTAACGACATCTAAAATGAAGTTAGGTAGAGGACTAAATCGACACAATTTAATCACTGGGGACAACAATGACACAAACTTGATACTTTGGGACTAAAAGGGTAATTAACCCTTACATTTATGTTAGGGGTGTTCACGGGTCGAGTCAAGTGTGGTTTGACTCAAACCCGCTACTTGATCGAAATTGTTTGGTTTGGAAACATGTTCAATCATGTCCAACCGCATGTTAATTCGAAACTGTCCATCCATCTCCTTTGGTTTGGTGATCGGATTCGAACGGTTTCGAATTTACAAAAGCCAAATATCAAAACAATTGGAAAAGCAATTTTAGATTCACAAGATTCAACAGATTCAATGACCAAAAGAAGAACAAAAAACACTTCCATATAAACATGATTCTGGTATACCAAAAAAAATTAACTAAACTAAAAAAATAAAAACTTAAATTAAAATAAAAACTAAACTTGAGGATCAATAGATCTAAATCAATTGACATCACTACCGCATCCAACCATCTGCAATTTTACCATCATCGTTCTTGAAGCTTCAAGATCAATCATTTGATGCGTATTCCCAACGAAATCACCATAAACCAAACCAAACCAAACCAAGCCAAGCCTTAAGTCCAATCAAATGGGATCGGCTGCAGGACTCCTTCTCCACTCGACTCTACCCAAGGTCATTTCACTAGTCAAATTAAGAAGATTCATATCTCTATTTACTACACTAATCCACATTAATCTAGGTCTACCCCTTCCTCTAACACTACCATCTACCGTCACTATATCGCATCTCTTCACTACTGCCTCTGTTGGTCTCCGTTGTATATGACCAAAGCATCTCAATCTATTCTTTCTCAACTTATCTTCTATCGATACTACTCCTACACATTCATAAAGTCACCATCAACTTTAAAAATTCATAAATCCACCATTGATGAAGCTTGAAAGTCATCGACCGTGAAAAGGAATAGGGCTTTCCCTTTGGATATTCATATCATAAGACAGTAAGGTTTTTGGAGTTTAGGGTTACAATTGAATATTTGATAGAATAGTGAGAGAGAAGAAGAGAGAGAATGAGGGAAAGGGAAAGAGAGATGCATGGGAGAGAGAGAAAGTGGTTAACAGTAAGTGAGAGAGAATAGAGAGAACGAGGGAATAACAAAGAGAGATACATGGAAAAAAGAGAAATTTGTTGACAGAAAGAGAGAGAATAAGAGAAGGATAGATACAATGCCTAAAAAAAAGATAAAGTAGTTGAGAGTTTTGAGATTGACGTTTAGATAAAAGAGAAAAATGTTTGAGAGTTTTCCAAATATCATAACACACATGCCACGCAGATAATGTGCAATCCCCAAGACCAATAAAAACTTGATAGGAGGAAAGGTAACGTTTTTACAATATATATTCGGTCGGTTCGGTTTCAACGGGTCCCAAATATCTAAACCCGTTAATTGAACCAATACCCAAAAAATTATATTTTAACAAATTGCAGCCGACCGCTGCTCATCGGGTCGGGCAGTCTAGTCAGATAGGCCGGGTTTCACGTTTTGGTGAACACCCCTAATTTATGTAATAAGATACACTATTGTGATTGTAGCTATAAATTTGTTATATTATAGGATGGTCTAGTGTAATTGTGATTGTGATTATTATGTTAAGGAATATGTTGTTATTTCAATTTTAGTTAGTGTTATGTTACATTACATTAAATAATCATATATATAACATACACTTCTTTTTTTCTTTTTTTTTTTGCATGTCTTTTATGTGTCGTGTCTTGCATTTTTTGAAAATTTACATGTGAACATGTCCATGTCGATGATTCTTAACTTAGGAAGCACGGATACAGATATAGACACAAACATGAGACATGGCGATTTCAAAAACAATTAAGACATGAACACGATAGGGATACGTCAAAAAAAAATTATATATTTTATTTGCTATTTATATTAGTAATACATCCACAAATAGCCAAAATTAATAAAACTAGCATTAAAAGAAAAACACAAACAAACTAGATTTAAATAAGCCAAATACTAGATTTGTGTTGCATTGCATTACACGTTCCATAAATTATTAGAAGCCTTTCTCTCAAATTCACAATTGTATTTAGATCTATGTTGCATTGTCAATGGTTCGATATGAGTTTTATATTTTTTTTTATTAAATTCAACTCTGCTGTTTCCAAATATTATAATATAACCCTCAAAATTAGGTTTGAAAAATTAAAATGACCCCGTTGTGTCTCAAAGTATGACCCAACGTGTCCCCCAAAAAATATTATTAAAAAAATGCTTCTGACACAACTACAACACTTATTTTGAAGTGTCGGTGCTTCATAGTTCTTCACTAACCAATCTCCATTAAGTCTTATAGAAAATGTTTTCTCCCATCATTATTCCAGCCGTGTTCGTGTCTCAAACATGGCTACGGCACCTATTTTGAAGTGGTGGTGCTTCATAGTTCCTAGCTAACCAATCTCCATTCAATCTTATACAAAATGTTGTATGTTAAAACTAAATAAAAATTACTCTTAGCACAATAGTCTCTTCAATGATTATCAAATCATAAAACTATAGCAATATAAGAAGCATGAAACTTAGGTTGTGAGTTATTGAGCTTAGGCCAAATCCTACCCAAAAAAGAAAAGAAAAGAGGATAACCTAAATGAAAACCAAAAATAAAAAATAAAAACAATAAGAAGAGGCATAACAACAAAATACCCATCTGTTTAAATAAATTTGATGTGCCATTTGATTTTTGTAAGCATAAAAATTCATGCCAAAAATGAGATTAAAGGTGGACAAGTCATACTAAATTTAATCAGAACAAAGGAAGCAGATCACCCAATTAAGGATGTACATTTGAACAGACTCAAGAACTTGAACATCTTTGATATGATCTCAAGCCATACCAATGCCTTGGTTTCAGTTTTTCACAACCATTTCAACAAATAATGTTCAGGAATACAGATTTTGCTTCTATTTTAAACATAACCAACAACTGAAATAGACATTTAGATTTAAAACCTTGGGTCATGAATAGAATTATGACTCCATTTTTAAAAGATCAGCATGCAAGGAAAATGATAAGTTTTAGCAGCATCACTTTCTAAATTGCAAGCTTTTCATACACGGTGCCTGAATAATTAGAATCTTGACTCCCAATGCATTAAAAGAAATAGTTTTTTGTACCTGGTGCCTGAATAATGAATAATAAGTTTGTTTTCTTTTAATGCATTAGGCGTCGAGACTCTAATTTATTCTCAAACTTCGACAGAAGTTGCTCTTTGTAAAGTTCCCATCTCTGCCATTGCAGGTCTTTTTTACACACCCAATAAGCGCTGCAAGACAAATCTATCTACTTAAGTATGGCCATGATTTGCTCAATCAGAGGTTAGCCCATGATTTCTCATGAGATAAACAAGCCAAGCACCATCATTAACGTGTTAATCTATTAAGCTCAATAAGCTTATCAGGTATCCCAAGCCTATCGAGCTCGGGCCAAGGTTGGATTAACTAGAAGGTCTGCTGAGATTGCTCATAAAATAAATGAGCTGAGCTCCAGCTTAAGTTTCAATTTCATTAAGCCAAACTTGAGCTACCCACCACTTAGCTCAACTCATCTCATTAATTTGAATCACACAGCCAAAATGCAAATGCAGTAAAAAGTAGTACAACCCACGAGATTTGAAAATGACCAAAAGCATTTATACAAAGTATTACATATTTACTAGTATAGTTATGAGATCATACCAATTTGAAAGATTCTAGTTGTTCAGGGAGCTGATAACGTCTTTGCCCAGTTGTCAACGACAAATGGTGATGCAGATTAAGCTGGGCAAGCTTGCATGGATCTTGGGTTATCGTGGCAGATAGAACCATCTTCACAAGCCTAGGATAAGAGTTGCCCTTAAATCCCCTTTCAACACCTCTACAACAAATTAAAATAAATTATTACTACAAGCTAACTGTCACATGGAAAATACTTCACTAGACATTTGGACAAAAATTAAACAGGAAAATTGAAGAAAAAGTTAAGTCTCCAGAAATGCCTACAAGGATCTGAAACTCCCCACCTTTAATCCAGTGGTAAAACAATGAGATCAAAGTGTCCATGAGTCTCAAAGATTCCCTAGTGGACAATTGTTAAGTGTCAGTATGGTATTAGACTCATATGTGGGTTCCAATACAAATTGCTTAGACCACAAAATTTCCAAGAGTATGAAACATACATTCAATCATTGCTTATCATGGCTTCTAAAGAGTGAAGACCACCATAACTGGCCATTCACCAGTAAACCAACAGTTGCTATTGTTTGTTTGAGAGAGAAAAACTTAGGGAATTATTAGACAATCATCCCCTTTTATATTGATAATAAGTAACTTACAATCGAAGCCTTGGAGGCACAAATAAGAAAATAACAGAATAAGGAAATAACAACTAATAGAATAATCAATACACAATAACCAAAGATATTATTGTAACACTCCCCCTCAAGCTGGTACGAAGATGTCTCTCATGCCTAACTTGCCATGCACATAGAATGGTTTGCTTCCAATTCTCTTGGTGAGAATGTTTGCCAGTTGTTCAGCTGACTTCACAAAAGGAGTACATATAGTGCCACTGGTGAGTTTCTCCTTAATGAAGTGGCAATTAATCTCCACATGTTTCGTTCGGTCATGCTGAACTAGATTGTGAGCTATGTTAATAGCAGCCTTATTACTACAGTAAAGTCGCATGGAATCAATATGACTAATCCCCAGATCACTTAGCAGCAACTTGACCCATAAGAGTTCACATACACCTTGTGCCATGGCTCTAAACTCGGCCTCTGCACTAGACCGGGCGACTACATTTTGTTTCTTGCTCCTCCAAGTAACCAAATTACCTCCAACAATGGTACAATAACCAGATGTGGACCTTCCATTAGTACTAATCATGCCCAATCTACATCTGTATAAGTTTCCACTCGAAGATAATCATGTTTAAAAAAATACTCTTTTCCGGAAAAGATTTCAAGTACTTAAGGATGCACATTACTGCAGCCAAGTGTGTCTCGTGAGATGCATGCATGAACTGGCTAACCACACTAACTGCCATGGCAATGTCAGGACGAGAATGGGATAAGTAAATGAGCTTACCCATTACTCCCTGATAACTCCCCCTGTCAACAATAGCTCCCCTACTATCATCACTAAGCTTCTGGTTTGGCTCTAGTGGTGTATCACAAGCTTTACTCCCAAGCATCCTGGTTTCTTTTAATAGGCCAAGAACATATTTTCTCTGACAGATGAAAATTCCATCCTGGAACCGGACAATCTCAATACCTTGGAAATATTTCAGATTTCCCAAGTCTTTTATTTCAAACAGTGTTATTAAAGGCGATAGGCGCACCAAGGCGCCAACGTCTCCTGGGGCCTAGGCTCAAGGCGCAAGGCGAGGCGCATGCTTCACCGAATTGAGGCGCACCTTGTACAGAAAAAAATATATAATTTAATACAAGTAAATAATTTAGGGTTTAGCATAAACAAAATGAAATGTTAAACATTTAGTATTTTTTGGAGATTAGAAATTAGGGCTAATTTTTCTTCTGTCATTGATTTGGGGTTGAATGCCCAATGTATTGGCATCTGTAATAAGTGTGAGGATCTTCTGTAGCTACACCATATTAAATTAATGGTCAGATTTTAAACAAAACCAATTAAAGCAACAATAAAAAAAAATAAAAAAGCCTAAGCCCTCAACACACAAGCCTTGGGCTAGTTAGGTACTATTGAAGTCGCCTGGCCTGGAACACTACAAGGCGCAAACCTTGGGCCTGAATGGGACTTGGACCTAGACGCACGCCTAGACGTGCCTTGTCGAAGTCGCCTAGCTTGGAACGCTACAAGGCGCAAACCTTGGGCCTAGATGGGACTTAGGCCTAGGCACACCTTTAATAACACTGATTTCAAACTCGCTTGTTAAATATTTCTTCAACCAGGGTATTTCCTCACTATCATCTCCAGTAAGCACCATGTTATCCTCATAAACAATGAGCGCTGTAGTCTTACCATGTAAGGAATACTTCACAAACAAAGTGTGATCAGCCTGACTCTGTTTGAAGCCATATCGGAGCATAACCTGAGTGAATATCTCAAACCAAAACCTTGGAGACTATTTGACACTATATAATGACTTAAGAAGCCTGCATACTTTAACCTTGTCTGATGGTCCTCAAAGCCAAGAGAGATGTCCATATACACCTCTTCTTCTAGATCACCGTGTAAGAAATCATTTTTTACATCAAACTGATGAAGTGGCCAATCCAGATTAGCTGCAAGAGAAAGAAGTACTATGACTAAATTCATCTTAGCCACTAGTGCAAAGATCTCTTGATAGTCTACTCCATAAGTCTGAATAAAGCCCTTTGCCGCCAGTCTAGCCTTGTAATACTCAATTGAACCATCCGCTTTATGTTTCACAGAATACACCCATTTGCATCCCACAGGTCTTTTGTCCTTAGGTAACTCAGTTAATTCCTAAGTGCCATTCTTACGAAGTGTTTTCATTTTTTCTATCATGGCATGTTTCCACTCAAGGGTAGCAAGAGCATCCTGAAAATGATTAGATATACTAAGAGAAGAAACTTTGGACACAAAAGCTCTATGAGAAGGAGACAAATTAGAGTAGAACTGTTAAAACCTATCACCTACTTCATCCACTAAACCTAACCCACTACACCACTACCACCTCACCTATCACCTACTTCATCCACTAAACCTTATCATTTTCTTCTGGTGAAGCAACACATTGCTGCTTTTTTTGTGGATTTTGTCCTTCAGAAGCTTTTAAGAATAAATCAGGATCTGCATGAAATCCAAAATATTTGTCGTATTAAACAATTTGCAGGCCTGCTAAGTGCAGTGGTTAAGAGTTCATGACATCCTAACTTGAAAAACAGTGAAAAAATTTCCAGCATGGCGTGCACTTACTCTCAATAGCTGGACAATCTTTGTCATCCACCTTCTTGCTCGGGATCTGTTTGCCATTTACAGCAACCTATATCAAATTAAGACAGATAAGTGCAACTGCTTTGACATCTAAAATAACAGCACTAAAAATAATCAGTGAAACAATAAACTTGCATCCAATAAACTTCCTATGAAAAAATTGAAATAATGAAGAAGAATGACAATCAGTGGCGGCTCAAGGCAATTTAGGTACTCGCCTAGTAGAGGAAGGCCTCACTTATTATATCATTACTCTGCAGTGTGTACATACATAAAAGAAAACAAAAATATTTGCATAAATAATTGTTATTATCAAAACAAAATACTACTTTGCCAAGCATTTTAGTATAGGGTTTAAGGTTCAAGAACCCTCTCCCTCTTCTTCACTACAAAAAGAAATTGTCCTTCTTTACTTGGTTATCAAAATTATAACATGTATATTCACTTCATTGTTTATTTTTTTGTTTTCCACAAAAGTATGAAATCTTACATGATTTAATTTATTAATTATCAAAATTGTTTTGATTGTGAAATTAGACATATCGGATAATTGTCCATCAAAAAATTAAAATTACAACAAATAAAATTGTTTTGATTGTGAATGTTGTGAATTTTAAATAAAAGTGATAGTATAACAAGAATATAATTACAATGTAAAAAATTATTAAAAGCCTCAATAAGATTTTCCACCTTGGGCCTGACAATAATGATAGACTGCAAAATAACTTACAACCATTACCTGTTCTTTAAAAAAGCATAATCGATATTAAGAGTTCTTACTGTTCACTCACGCCCACTATCCAAGGCAAAAAGTTTTATGTTTTGTTTGATGATTTGACCGAACTCAGTGACTACTCCATCACTTGGATAAAGTTCTTAATTCTTAATGTACATCCTAGCGAATTGATAAACGGCTTGGTTTTGGTTTAATGGGTGCCTATATGAATGGGTGGGTTTTTTCAAATGGGTTGTGTCTTTCTACAAAGACACTTCTTTATCTATTAATATACTACAGTCCAAATTTTTTCAACACAATCAATCACTCTGTGTCAGCATAATTTCTATAAACCAAAACGATTTCATGGAAATTTTCCGACTTTGCTAGTTACAGTTCTTTGTCGAAGCAGCTTTGTTACATCCTGTGAACGACTTTGCCTGCAACCCAACACCAAACTCTTCGGAGTGGGGGCAAATAACTTTCAAAATAAAGTGTCACTATATACACCTTAAAGCCTGTATTTATTATTTTCCAGATTGTTTACAAATTGTCCCAACACCCACTATCCAAAGGAAATTTTATTTTTTTTCTGTTTTGTGTTAGATTATTTGATCAAAGTCAGTGACGACTCCATCACCTGGATTAAGTTAATTTACACCCTAAAAAATTCCATACGTTGATATTCGTTTATATTCCACCCAACCAACTAAAATTAGTATAAATTCAAGCATAATTTTGAATGCCTGGACTGTATCATCTCTATCTTTTCACCCTATTGACTAACAATCAATCAAAATAAATAACACCAAACCAAGCAAAATTAACGTCGCAAAATTTGAGAAACGCACCTTCTTAGGAGCTCTGGGCTTTCGCTGTCTCTTCTTCTTGCCTTGACTCGCGCAATACTCTTCTTCTTCTTCTTCTTCGTTGGGCTTTTGATCGCCTTTTTTGTCCTCTTTCTCTGTTGCATTGTCTTGGGACCTATGCGGGAACAGTGTCGACTGGACCAATCTCCGGCGGACGGGTTGCTGTAGATCACCGACACCGGCAACCTCCGCGGCTGAGTTGTGCATTGGATCAGCTCAATTAGGGCTGGTTTTGAAATTAGGGTTTTGTTGAGGGACACAATTTGGGGGTTTGGGAGTAGAAGCAACAAAATCTGATCTAGAGAGAAAAAGGATGGAGGGAACGAGGATGTTGTTCCCGCCTTGGAAATTAATTCCGGTGTGATACTGATATGGGTTACGTTTATGCTAAAAAAAATCAAAAATAATAATAACAATAT